ATATAAGACATTATTCTACTGTATTTAAATTTTACATTTATATTATGCTAACAATTAGTCATTACTTGAGAATCACTGCTATTATTGTTATTATTAATTGTATGTAATTTTGCCGTACATTTGATCAGTTCATTATGCCTTATAGTAAACCTCTCAAACATATCATTAAAAGTAAAATTATTTAATATTTGCTTGTTATAATTTATAAAATACTTATTCATTAAATAACTATAAGTATTTTTATACCCATCACACTTGACAATTTCAATGATACCCTGATGTTTAAAATAACTTTTACATTCATTTACTATTTCTAATGATCTGTTTTTAGCCCATAATTTGTATTCATTGTAATCATGACTTACATTAAAGTAATCAATAATTTTTGTTTTGGCAAAAAACACATCCCTTTCCGTACAGATACTGATCGGTGGTAAATGTAATCTTTGAGAGGGTTTAACACTCAGTCGATACTTATATGGATAACTGAAGTAATCTTTTGTCACTTCAAACGCACTCAAGAATAGCATAAAAAGACATAAAAGTTTAACAAATATTTTGATATAAAACTTGAAATTTCCTTTAAAATACATTTTTTCAAATGTAATAACTAAATGTATAAATATTTTAAATGATTTTTATATTCTGATAAACAAGTCTATTAAAATATACTTTTGTAAATTAATATTAAGTTTATTGATTATATAATAATATCCTGAATACTTATATAATTACTTTCATAACTTGTGCAATAACTTTTCTTACTAACTAGATAATTACAATAATCATTAACCTACTTTAGTATTATCTCATGACAATAATTATTTTTAACAAGTTAATTTATATTGAAACATTTATTTCTTGTTCCTGATTGACAATATGATTGACCTTTAAGTTGAAAATAAGTTTTACATTCATTTACTATTTCTATTGATCTGTATTTAACCCAAAGTTTGTATTCTTTGTATTCTTGGCTGATATTAAAGTATTTATTAATTTTTCATTTTTCATATATATACATACCTACTGCAAGGGGTTTGGTATCCGTTCAGTCATAGTAAAGTAGGAAAACCGATCGCCAGTGTCGGTGAGTACGTGGAGTTCGCGGCGCCGGTAGACGAAGTGAATACGTTTCTGAGGGGCGGGAATGTAGTGCCGAGACTACCCGTCCGACAGACCACTACCGCTATGAGGACAGAGAAGTTCACTCTAATGGTTGTGCCCGATGTCAAGGGAGAGGCCAGGGGTCAGCTGTATTGGGACGACGGGGACTCTATTGGTACGATTGAGAGCGGCAATTATACCTTGGTCACGTTTGATATTAAGAATGTAAGTATCATAATGTCAAGTATATTAATTTACCAGATATACATAAATTAAATTTTTAGAATATTTGTTGAGTTTAATTTTAATGTTAGCATAATATAAATGTAAAATTTAAATACAGTAGAATAATGTCTTATATTTTTAATTATTTCTACTATTTTTAATATGGAATTATTTATAGGCAACCCTGGTCACTAGTCCACAACATAATGAATATGTAGGCGGTGTGACCACAGATACCATACATGTATTGGGTGTCAACACAAAGCCCACAACCGTTACAATTGATGGACAAATGGCTACAAATGTTACGTATAGTGCGGACCCGCAGTGGCTATCAGTGTATGGTGTTAACATTGATCTAGGCAGATCTAAACATACTATTGAATGGAAATAAATTTATTGACTTTGAGATTAATATAAAACATTTAAAAGTTGATTTGTTAAATAAATTAATTAGATTTTGTGAACGTATAATAAAACATTCAATTACTCATTTATTTTAATATGTAATAATAATTAATATTTTAGAAAATATTGCAATTATTATATTTAAATTATAAGTAATAAAGAAAATGATTTTCAAACCCATTACCTAAATTAAATGGACACTAAAAACGGTATATTAAATAAACGAAATATTTTAATATACAATATTATTTTTTAAATATTAATTTATAATTAATTTAAAAGAAAATGGCAAATTATTAGAGATTTACAATAACTTTAATAAATTTTGTAAATTAATTTATCAGATGTAGAGTTGATTTTATTTATACATGTTATAAATTAAATTAATGTATTGGTTGTATTGTATTTTGTAACAAATATGTGTTATATTTATTGTAAACCCAAATCCATAGGCGACTGTCAATGAACCAAATGATGACATCTTTGATATTAGTGCCAAACCACAGGCCAAACAGCCCTCCCGTGTATACCATTAAGTCTGTCAAAGACATGACCGGTTCCTCCCTAT